CCTGAGGCTGTAACATTTTGTAGCTTTCTCTCATAAATTTAAGGGAAAAAATGTTTATATATTTGAAGTAATAGAAAATAGCTAAGTGCAGAACCTATCTAAATCTGCTAAATATTAAAGAATAATAGTGATCTATAGAATATGGAACAGTAATTTTCTATTATTAACAATACATTATTTTATTAAGGCTTATATATAATTTATAGTTTATAAAAATACTTTTTTTTCCATGTGAGACTGGACTCAGGGCTTTCACACTGAGCTACATCCCCAGCCCTTCACTTTTTATTTTGAGACAAGGTCTTGATAAGGATCAAACTTGTGGTCCTCTTGCCTCAGCCTTCCAGAGTGCTGGAATCACAGGGGTACACCACTATTTCCTCCTTAAAAGCACTTTCACTACATAAATGTGAACATTATAACAATCTTATGAAGTAGGCAGGGCAGCTGGTGAACACTGATGTGAAAACCAAGAGAGATTGTATGGCCTGTTTAAGAATACAGAAAGACAGACTCGGAATATGGGCCCAGGGCAGATGATTCCAAAGCTCTTTATTCTGTAGTGTAATACCTTTTTGTTTAAAACCAATATAATTAATAAAGCCATTCATGTTGAGTAAAAATGAGAGTAAATATGAAATAGAAAAATGTGTAAATCCAGGAGAAGTGCTGAGTTCAAACTGCCTACTTTAGAGCAAAAGCAAATACAACTCCTACTATGGCCTAAACTGTTAGCCTCCTCACTCCATCCTACTGAAGCTGAAGCTCTAATCTTCCCTGTAGCCACACACAGCAGCCAGTACGGGGGCAATGTGGTGAAGAATCTGTAAGGGGTAAGGTTAGGGAAGAGACACAGAGAGCTGGCATGCTCTGTCGCTGTGATGTCAGGATGCAGTGAAAGGGTGGTTATGTGAACCAGTGAGAGGACCTGTACCAGAAAGGGAGTCAGTCATGGCCTTGATCTTGACCTACCTGGCCTCCAACTGTGAGAAAGAAAGGGTGATTCTGGTGTGGTCTCTGATGGACACAAGCACCATGGTCATTGGAAACCAGAAGAAAGATGATTAAGAACCCAGCAGAAGTATGTTCTAATGTTTTGTAAGAGATAGAAATTATATGATAAAATTGAATTTTTAGCTGAGGTGATATAAGCAAAGTGATAAAGGAGCAGCTTGGTTCCTCCTCAGAGCTTACAGTACAACAGGAAAGAAGACAGGTGAATTGAAGAACGAATTCTTACGCAAAAAGAAATCAGAACTTAAAAGATATGGAAAATTCTTGGTCTATCCATATTACAAAAACTGTGAAAGCATGTGCTTAACAGAACACAGGGTTTAGCTAGACTGTCATGTGATGAAGAGATAGATTATGGGTAGGATTCACAGATTTAATCAGCCACCTTAGTAGAAGCCAGGAATAACAAGGATGGGGTTATATCAGCAAAAACACTGCCAGTCTGAACTAGGGAAAGTAGGCTGGAATGAAAGAAGACTGCTAGACTTCTTGGGTTCTATATGGTTGGACCATAGAGCTATTTGGTTGTGAAGTGTGTATTTTTCAAAGAAAAGGGAGAGTAACCCCAAAGGTGACGAGATGTCAAGTTTGCTCTTTTCCTCTGACGTACAGTGCACAAGGCTGTTCCGTCCTTGTTTTCTCTGGCTCTGGAGGGCCAGCCTGCCTGTGAGCCACCATAAAGACCCACAGGGGTGACACGGCCACCCTAGTGGGCCGGGAGGGCAGGGTATCAAACCAAAGGAGATTATTCTGAAGTTGTAGGAATTAATGGAATTTAACTTGCTAGATTTTGGACTTTTGGACTCATCACCTCTTCCTTCTAACTTCTTCCTTTTAGTATGGGAATGTTTCTATTGTATGCCTGTTTGTAGTTATATTTTGGATGCTGTTACAGTTCATACATTGTGTCAACTTGAGGAATCTAAAAGCTTAACTGAGTAACTCAGCAGTTCTACATCCTGGGTTGAAAAGGACCTGCCCTTAAGGCTGTAGGATGTTGCTCATCGTGTCAACTTGAGAAGTTTAAAAGTTCAACTAAGTGATTCAGCAGGGGGCCAGGGTCCTTACTTTGTAAACACTCTCAGCTTGTGGAAGAGGAGGGCACAGAAATGGTGTGGGTATGGCCTAAGGGAGGAAAAGAGGCTTGTTTCCCTCCTGTGCTCTTGCTGCTTTTGCTGTCTTCTGCCACCTTGAAGTGTTGCCCCTATGCCATGCCACTCTGCCTTAGAGCCAGCAGATTGCAGATCAAAACCTCCACAAACTGTAAGCTAAATAAACCTTCCCTTCCTTAATTTTGGGCGTTGGGTACTTTGTCTCAGCAATGAGAGAAAAGTAACCAAGACAGATGCACATAATTTGTCTTTTCAAAGGTTCACAACGGGTGGAATTTTGTTAGGACAGTCACACCTTGAATTTCAACCCATAATAGGTCTTAGGTGACATTTACATAAGACTCTGGACTTGATTCTGGAATAAGAATTTTGAGGTGCTACGATGTGTTTTGCAGGCAATAGCCATACATTTGGGAGGGGGAAGCATGAAATAATGGACTAAACTGTGGTGCCCACCTAGTCCAATTTATATGTTGAAGTCCTACTCAATGTGACAAGGCCTACAATGAGCTCATAAGGTTGGGGCCTGGAGATGACAGGACTGGTGTCCTTATAAGAAAGACACAAGAGCATTCATTCCCTCTTCAGCTCTCTCTCCTTACCATGTGAGACAGACAGAAGGTGGCTGTCTACAAGCCAGGAAGAGCCCTCACGAGAAACCAAATATGCTAAAATCTGGATCTTCGCTGCTAAAACTACCCAGTCTATAGAATTTTGTTATGGCAGCCCAAGCAAACTAAGACTACACACAAAGTAAAGATTTTAGTGCTCCCTGATGGCAGTGGATTTGGTAGTTAAGTAGCAGGGGTAATAGTACTTCCTTTGGCTTTCAAATTACTAAATTCTAACAGGGACTTCATTTTGCACCATTTTAAGAGATCCCTACACTGATTAGCTTACCCTAAATTGCATCAATATGGGAAGGGATATTTTAAGAAGACAAACACTTAAAGGAGTTGTTTGTGTCAGCTAAATGTTGGCTTCTTTTGTTTACCTCTGCAAAAGTCAAGTGCTCAGAGTTTATTCCTCTAAGATTCTATGATCAGTTGGGCACTTCTGGAAATGCCCAGAGGGTCTTCAAAGAGACATTTATATTCAGCATTTAGTGCAAAACATCCTTTCCCAACCTGCCAACAACTCCCAGTATATAATCACTTGCCACCTGTTCTTTTGAGATTGCTTTTGCATCATTACAAGCAAAGAAATCAATAGTAGACCATTGATTTAGGAAAGAGACAAGATTGCACAGCAATAATACATAAAGTTAGTCAAGCCCTACTTCTCAATTGTTTTGAAAGAAGAGATAGTTCAATGCCCCTTTCTGAAATAGATACTCATTCTGCATTGGTGATCTTGTAGCAATAAAGACCCAAGAAAGATAAGATGCCATAACCCCAACTGATGTAACAGCTCTTGCATGCTATACAGAATCTCAACATGCCTTTTTAGGCCAGTAAGTAATATATGAACTGGAGTCTAGATCCCCTCTCTGCAGTCTACCCTTCAGTTTAATTTGACTGTGTGGGCTGGAGCAGAGACATTCAGCCAGGGCCGCAGACAGTCAAGGGTGCTGTAGACAGTCAAGGGAGATCAGCCAGCCAAAGGTCTGGCCCAAGCATAGATTCTGTCTTGATAGTCAGGCAAGGCCAACTGTTTACCTTATCCATTAATTTACTAAGATACCATCTGGTCTTTCTAAGCTAAATTAACAGGTAAAAGTCATTTAGGTATGTTAATTGTTTTTGAGCCAATGAGAGAAGCAGTAAAAAGCAACTATGGGAATGGAGAACATTACTTTAACGTTTACACAGAGCTTTGTGTTTTTCAAACCCTTTCACTTGCATTATCTCACTTGCTCCTCACCTCAATCCCATAAAGTGGATGGATTATCATTGTAAACAGCTGAAAGAGAGGAAACGGAGGACCAAAGGTTGCTACTCTTTTAAAGTAGAGAAGAGCTAATGGTAGAGAAAGAAATGTGCACTTATCAGGGACAGTTCCATGTGATAGGAGTCATTACTGACAGAGACACTGAGTGTCAGAGCCAGGGTCTGAACCCAAATCTTTTGGACACCACAGCCCATCCCATGGTTTTTACAATGATAAAACACACGGTTCACTGTTATAGCCAGTGTAACTCAGTGAGAATCCTTGATGTCAAGAGTTCTAGACGTCTTGCAGTAGTGGTTGTCTGAAAAGGGCAGTACATATGACATACAGGACAAACTGTAAGCTAGGACTCAGAGATATCTGTGTTTATATTCCAAGTCTACCATTTGCTTGCTGTATGACCCTATGCAAGCTTGTTTACCTCTGAGCTCCATTTTCCTCATGTCTCAAATGTAGAAAAAGATTTTACCCTCATAGACTTGATGGGAAAATTAAGGTTCAACAAGTATTAGTTACCTCCTGTATAAAAATACTACTGCAGGAAGCAGAGGAGATAGAGAACGGGCATAGACAAGGGTCTCTTATTTGGAGAGAATAAAAGTAGAAACGTGGAGTAGAAGGTGCATTACAGATCTTACTTTTTATACGTAGCCTATGCAAACAACCACAGCTCAAAGTCTATTTCCTTTAAGAAGACTATTCTGACTTCTAAGGTCCAAGTTAAGGTCCTCTCAGGCACCCCACAGAATTCCTACTTATTGCTACCTCAGCATGCAATATACTGTTGGAACTGTCTCTTTACATTATCTCCTTACTTCTCTAAACATAAACAAGCCTCTTAGTTATTAGCATCTACCTTCCAGCAGGTACTCTAACTTTTGCAGAATGGAGGAACTGGAGGAAGGAAAGGGGAAACAGAGAATGGACCCATCCTATTAACAGCATGCTTGCAAAGATTAAAATGAGATTGTAATGTTTTCTTACCTTGACTGCATAGTTATTAAGTGGATCTTTTGCATACGAAGCAGTGTAGTAAACTGCATCACCTGCTTCACAACATGGTTTGTCGCTGGTTAGCCTAAAGTCTGACCAGCTGTCGACCCCAAAGCGGAGCTGGTCTTTCTGTCCGGCCATGAAGAGGTCTTCACATTTAACAGCCAGTTTCTTCAAGGCATCTGTATGAAGGCTTCGGATTTTACCCACTACTTCCTCCCGATTTTCAAGTCCTCGATAAAGTGCTTGTCTCTGTGGCTTCTGAATGCTTCGGCCCTGTCTGCAAGAGGGACCACGTCGGCTGGTCAGGGACTCCATGCTGTTAGAAAACCTGTCCTTAATACTGAGAGTGGTTAAACTGGAGATGCTGTTTGCAGCAGAAGGGACAGGTCTCTCCTTGTGCAGAGGTCTCTCCAAGGAGTCACAGGACTCAATGTCTAGTCCTTTGAGCTCATAGCTAATGGAAGAGCCAGCACTGCTGGCGTCCCAGTTAGGATCAATATCATAGGTAGGATTAGCCATGACACAAAGGCTACTTTCCATGGATTTCTGGAGGTCTTTGGAGATTGGCTCTGTATTGGCTCTTATGATCATTTTCTTTGGCAGTGGGGGTGGCGTGGGTTGGGAAACATTCGGTACTTCTTGGTCTGTTTTCCCTCCAAAGGCGATGGCATCGTCCAGAGCTCCCTTGGGCTGCCGTGGATGCTTGGGGGGTATCATTGCTGCTCTGGATTGCCCTGTATCATTTTATGGAAAGCAGAGAAGAGAATAATTAAATGAAATTTTCTAGTTCATAATTGAAATTTGAGTAGAAACAAGTGAGGCAGTCATGGGAAATGTAAGACTTAGTGCTTTCATTCAAAATGGGAAAACTACCATAGAACAAATACCTGAACATTGAAGCCATGAGTCCAAGACTTGGAGGGAACAAATGTAAATGATATTTCAGGATTTCTCCACCAGAGGAAGAGGGAACTAGTTTGGGTGATGGGCTTTGTTTCCCAAAAAAGGATCGACTCTCCAGTCCTGCCCCAAGAGCACTATAATTCACCACACCAGGATACTAAAGAAAGACAGCCACTCACAAACACTTGCACTGTGACGGAGTAGGTATGACAGCATTTATGGGTCAAGAAAATGCTTGGAAGCATTATTGAAAACAGCTGAAACTAGCAACAGGGCAGGGGCTCAGAAGATACTGTTTTGTTCTTTTAACGCTGTGCCAAAGAGATGCTGTGTTGTATATAGCATTTGTCATTTTATAGTCATGTGTATGACATTTGTCATTTATACAGCCTTTTGTAACAAGCATCAATGCAATTGCATAAGCCATGTCATTTTATTTTAGTAAAGATGAACTCTGACATTGTCTAAACTAGTCTAAAAGAGTCCTGTGATTGTGGTTAAGTGTATATAGCAGACAGCTGCTATTCCAGACAGTCATTCACAAACTCCTGTGACTTTATTTGGAAGGCATGTACGCATTGTGATTTAAGAGGTGCTACTTCTGGAACTTTTACACTGAACCCCTGTTTCTGTTTAGTATGTGACACTTATGCTTAGAAGATAAAACACATGTGTGGGTTCACTGATATCTTCAGAGCTTATATAATGAAGAGGAGATATTTTTTTAAAGTCAGAGAAAATACCATGAGACTTCCATAAAATCTATTACAATTGGTCATGTTGTTAAAATGAGGTCTTTGGTCAAGATTTCAGAGTTAAAGCATAATCCCTTGTTACGGACTGAATCATAACCCCTCTCCCCACCACGAGAGCCTAACCTCTGGTACCTGTATACACGACCTTATTTGGCAATAGTTATGTGATCAAGTTAGGATGAGGTCATTAGAATGGGCTCTAACCCAATGTGACTAGTGTCCTCCCTGGAATAAAACACCACACGAAGACAGTGGCAAACAGGGAGAACAGCATATGATGATCGTGGCACGGACTGCAGTGATACAACAACAAGTGAGAGAATGCCAAGGACTGACAGCCATTATCAGGTGCCAGGCAGAGGTAAAAAAGGATTCTACTCTGTGCCTCACAGGGAGCATGACCTGTTGACAGCACTGTGATTTCAGGTTCTTATCCTTTGTAACTGCCTGAGAATACATTTCTGTTGTTTTAAGCAACCCATTACAATCTTCATTACAGCTGTCCTAGGAAGCTCACACATGCTCCCACTGATGATCACAGAGTGGAAGGTGATGGGTGGCATCCACAGTAGGGGTGGTGGTTTCCTTGAAGAATGCCAAGGATATGCACTGACATAAACTGTGATTATACTACTACTAAAATAATAATAGTAATAATGTTATTATTGTATTCCACTTCTCATGAATGCAGAATTTTCAAGAATACTTGAGAGTTTTAACCACGATGTATAGCATGCTTAAAGATCTCTGTTCTGGGGCTGGGGATTTAGCTCAGCAGCACAGTGCCTGCCTGGCAAGTGCAAGGTCGTGAGTTTGATTCCTGGTACTGGAAAAAAAAAAAAAAATCTCTGTTCTTCACTAGTGGCATGTAACAATACCTTTGCAAGCACCAGAGCCTCATTAAATATAAATAAACAAAAATATGTGCATAGTAAGAGAGTGCAAGAGAGTGAGAGACAGAATACGAGAAAGTGAAGCCCCAAGAGGTTAAGGGCTTATGTTACTCATTATTGTAACCTCTGACCCAAGATCAGGTTCTAGATAAAATAGACATTCAATAAATATTTCTTGAATGACTGAATGTAGAAAAAGTAGAAAAATGGATGGATATCTAAAACAAGAAAAATACTGAATTAGTAATTTAAAAAATTTAGGGTGGGGATATGGCTGAGTAATAGTGCTTGCTGAGGATGCATGAGTCCCTGGGTTTGACCCTCATCATCACAAAAATAAATGAGTAAATACATAAAGAAATTCTCACAAAGAAAAAAATTAGGACTAGATGACTTTGCTGATGATTTCTACAGAATAGGTGCTAATACTAATCCTTTATAAACTCTTTCAAAATACAGAGGAGGGAGTACTTTCGATATCTGATTGTAAGGGGCCAGCATTACCTAGATAACCAAATCAGATGAAAACATTACCAGAACACTGAAGACTACTATTTTTGCAGGATACAGGTGCAAAAATCCTTCACAATATACTAGTAAACCGAGTCCAACAACATTTCAAAAGGATTGTATACTACAACAAGGTGGGATTTTTCCAGGAACACAAGGTCGATTTAACATCTGAAAATTAGTCAGTGTAAAAACTACGCTAATAAAAGGGGGAAAAAATCGCTCATATGGTCATCTGAAAAGATGCAGAAAAAGCACTTGATAAAATCTAACAGCTTTCCATGATAATAGCACTCAAAAAAGTAGGAACCGAAGGGAACATCCTAAACCTGATAAAGGGCATCTTTGTGAAGCCCAGAGCTAATATCACAGTTAATGATAGAAGTCTGAATATTTCTCCCCTAAGATCAGGAACAAAATAAGGATTTCTGCTCTTACCATCTGTAGTATAGAATGCATGTGAGCTGCCAGCCAGAGAAATTAGGAAAGAGGAAGAAAAATATCCAGAAAGGAAAGAAGGAACTAAAACCATCTCTATGCACATAATCTGTGAGAAGCCTAAAAAATCCATAGAAAACTTAGAATATACCAGTTCAGCAAGATTGAAGGATACCAGATCAATATACAAAAATGAATTGCATTTCTATATACTAGCAATGAACAATCCCAAAATGAAAACAATTCTGCTTGCATTATTGTCAAAAAGAATATTTAACAAAACAAGACTTATATACTGAAAGATAAAATACTGACAAAATAAACATAAAGACCTAATGTGTGGAAATTAGTTATGTTAGTAAAACAACTAATTGTTGTATTATGTATGCAGTTTATGCTCATCAATCAGAGACTTAAAATGGAAATATTCTCTGAATGATCTAATGCAATCCCCATCAAAATCCCAGCTGGATCCCTTTCAGAAACTGATAGACTGATTCTAAGATTCATGTGGACACACAAGGGTAGCAAAAAGTCTTTAAAAGGGCTCATTTCAAAACTTACTAGAAAACTATCATAATGGAAACAGTGTGTTACTAGCATAGGAACAGAAATAGAGATGAATGGATTAGATTTAAGAGGTCAGAAATAAACTCATATTAACAGTCAATTAATTTTTGACAAGGTTGCCACAATGATTTAATGGGGGAAATAGTCTTTTCAGCAAATGGTCCCAGGACAGTGGGATATCCAAATACAAAAGAATGAGGTCAGATCTATCTCACCATATACAAAAATTAACTCAAATTGTATCAGAGATCCAAATGTAAGAATGAAAACTGTAAAATTTTTGTATCACTTTTTTTTTTTTTTTCCAGTGCTGGGAATTGAATTCAAGGCATCATGCAGGTAAGGCTGCCTCCTGCTACACCATTGAGCTATATTCCCAGCCCAATGAAGCTCCTAAATAAAAAATAGAAGTAAGCTGGGTGTGGTGGCACATGCCTGTAATCCCAGCACTTGGGAGGCTGAGGCAGGAGAACCATTCGAGACCAGCCTGGGCTACAAAGTGAGCTCAAGGCCAGCCTGAACTGCATAGTGAGACTGTGTCTCAAAAAGACAAAAAAAAAAAAAAAAAAAGAAGTAAATTCTTGTGACCTTGAGTTAGGCAATAGTTTCTTGATATGACACCTAAAGTATAAACATCAGCAACAACAAAAATGAAAGGATGTGGTACCGGTCAACAATATCCCCAACAAACAAAACATGTGAATTTAAAAGGAGACCTTCAAGAAAGTAAAAATACAATCCATATAATGGCAGAATATATGTCCAAATTATATGTCTGATAAGAGACTTGTATCCAGAATATATAAGGAACTCTTACAGGGCTGGGGATGTGGCTCAGTGGTACAGCACTTGCCTAGTGTGCATGAAGCCCTGGGTTCAACCCCTAGTACTCTACAAAACAAAAATCAAAACACTTACAAAAACCACCTAATTAAAAATGGGCAAAGGATTTGCATAGATATTTTTCTAAAGAAAATATATAAATTGTCAATACATGTTATGGTTTGTGTCTAAATGTTTCCAAAGCCTCATGTGATCCTGAGGCTTTTTTGGAGGTGGCTGAATCTAAAATGTGTGGTGCTGGGATTAAGGGTGTGTGATTACTAAATCAGTCCACTGATGGGTTTGGCACAGCCCTAATCCTGGTACTCTGGATAAGATATAAGGGGCAGAAAGCTGCTATTAAGGTTTCTTGTTGCTTTTGCTGCCTTCTTGTCCACTATGAACTGTTGCCCATCTGCCATCTGCCACACTGCCTGGGAGCCAGCCAATTATGGACTGAAACTTCTGTGAACTGTAAGCCAAATAAACCTTTTCTTCTTTAACTCTGGGTGTTGGGTATTTTGTTTCAGCAATGAGAAAAGTAACTAAGACAATATACATCACTACCCATTAAGCCAATGTAAACCAAAACTACAAGAAGACACCACCAAGAGAAGATCCATTGGTCTTGCTATAATAAAAAACCCAAGTTTAAATATACACATTACTAGTAGAAATATAAATGGTACCACTAATCTTGGAAGACAGTCTGGTATTTTTTCAAAAACTTAAACCTAGAGTCATCATATGAGCTAGTATTTCTACTCCTATACATATATCCAAGAGAAATGAAAGTATTTGTCTGTACAAAAGCTTGTACACAAATGTTTATAACACCACCAT